TAGAAGGGAGTGGATATTAGATATTAGCAAATAAGTTCCTGAGAGTTTTAAGTGCATCTGGCTTAATTTTTTCATGTTCATTGACACAAACTGGAAAAGTACCAGATAGCTCAAGCTGAGAAAGAAGGTTGGTGATTACATCTTCCAACATTTTCCTAACTCTGTTCACCCTCCTGGTTGAGCAAATCACCAACTTCATTTACTACCCAATTTGCAGCCCTGGATTATGAAAAATATAGAACTCTGGGTATAAATTTACACTTTGACAGTTGATCTTTTTGAAATGTAAATGTATTCAGAGGGGGATTGTATGAAATGTTTATTTGTAGTGTTTAGTTGTGGTAATAATTTGAGCCATCAAATTGCCTTTACTTTGAAAATCATCCCATATTCAGATACATTAGAACAAAACACAATAAAATGCTAATGGCTAACCTAATGGAGATCTTGCCAGGGATTAAAAGAAAACATGACTGAATAAACCAGAAGAACTAGTTTGGACTAGTCAGTGCCAGAGGAGTAGGGAGGGAGAAAATATGAGTAAAACAAAAGAAGGGAAAAGGCATTTAGAAAATTCTGGAAAGGGAATATTTGCAGAACAATTGGCCGAAATGTCTTGACCTTTTCCCTTTCTTTCCTTTTTGACAGAAACAAAGATGAGGCACTTTCCATCCACTTTTTAAAATTTCTGTTCCCAGTAATAATAGAGATACCTTATATACAGTGTGTTGGCACATGGGATAAGGATAGCTGAGTCTGAGTAGCGTAGCATTATTGGAGAAGGAAAAAACCATGTCTAAGCCCCAAAACAGACAATTACATATAAATTAATTTTAAAAGAAATGTGAAAATTCTTTATGAAGTAAAATGTCAAAAGTGACAAAAAAGCTCTGAAAAATTGTGGCTATGGGAAGATTTTAAACATGCCAAGTCTTGCCAATTTAACCCAATTAATTTATGGAATTTTAATAAAAACACAAAGGGTGGATTCTGCAATAAGTAACGTTAGTATAAATATCTGTGCACTTAGACAAAATAAATGTACAAAATCTATTTCAAACTATACGATCAAAAAGTCTGATGTACAAACACAGATACACTTCCAGTAGGTTAACAGAGAGACTCACTTTGAAGAGAATAATGTATTTATAGAAGATAAATAAATGATTTTCTTATTAACTGGGGGATAATGATGACTATAATAACAAATGAAGACAGAAAGAATATCTATAACTATATATATATATATATACAACTGTAATTATACAGACATGATTTTTTATATTTACATATGCATTTCTCAGGAAAATATCAACAGAAACAGAAAACATAAATTTCATAAGAAATCAAACGTAGCACACACATGAATCAAAAGAATGAAAACAAATCATTAAGAATATAAGAATTTAATGTATGATAACGGCCATTTGTCAGCTATGCCATTGGCTATCATACAGTGCAAAAAGTTATACATACAAATTAAACACGACTCTATCTTGCACATATATAGTAATTAGGAAGAGGAAAGAGAACAGTGTCATTTCCCATGGTGCTCAACTTTTCAGGGCGAAGGTTCCTAAGCTTCTGTGCGTCAGATTCTGTCCTGGGACGGTGCCTGGAGCAGAGACCTGCTCACAAGCACCAGCAGAGCCCTCCCGACCAAATACATACACCATTTGCCTTAGGTTACCCAGTGAGCTGAGGCTTCTCAAATCGATTAGAGTTTCCTGGGAGGCAGGAGTGTGCCTCCAGAGTGACTTCGATGCCAGGGAGCCACAGAGGGCACACTGGGCCCAGGGGCATGAGGATGCCACAGTGTGTCTACAGTACCACAAGAATGAAGTATAGAACGAGTGCTGCTGGGCTCATTGGTTACTCATTTGGGCAGAGAAGGCAAATCACTTCATTACTGTCCATCTTGCTCAAAAGTAACAAATAGTGTATCTGTGAGCCAAGCCTGACATAGGAAGGTATGAAGGAACTGGGAAACTGAAAAGGAGCTTCTTTTAGTAATTAGAGCATGGAGAAAGGTATCCTAAGACACCCACAGAAAACCAGAGTCAGTCAGGAAAAATTAACCTTTCAGGTGAAAAGGAGGCCAGGAGCAAAATGAGGAGGAATGTAACAGACGTGGTGCAGACACAAGCAGCGACTGTAACAGGCAGGGGATGAGGCACCGCATGCAGAGCTCTGCTGGGCTCTGATGCAGCACCCTTGTGCATTGTGGACCTATTAGTGTCCTCTAGAAGGGAGGTAGGTGCAAATGTTGCCCACTGATACTCACCTCATAGCGGATGGGGCCAAGGCACAGAGGTTGACTTGGTGAGGGCTGTGCTGGCTTGTGGGTGGTGCTTAAAAGGAATCAGGTGGGGTGGAAACTGCTCTGAGAGTGAGCTACAGGGCTCCACCAAGGATGCAGGGTTTGAGGACGGACAAGCCCCCAGGGAAGCTAGATGTCTGCAACCTCGAATCACTTACAGAGAGAGGGTGGAAATGTTCTTCCAACTACAGGATCTCCAGGGCAGGAGGCAGGCTGGGGAGGGCACAGGAGTTAGTGTGGAAGCCAGGACTTTCAGGGACCAAATGGAAATGTGCTGATGAAATAAATAAGAAGCAAAGCCAAGGCCCTCTGTGGAGCTGGAAAGCAGTCCGCGGCACCAGTCGTGGACATAGAGAAGACAGCTCAGGCTGGGGCAGCACCTTTGAGGCAGGCGGCCTCCCCACAGAGTGTGACAAGCCCAGCAGGGATGATCTAGTCCAACATTTGCCATGGGAAACCCGGCAAAGGCTGACTGATAGCTGCAGCAGACAGGTGAGTTGGACGATTTGTGGTTCAGGGCTCTTCTTAATTCATGTTGCACTGACTGTAGGATGGGTGCAACAAGTGCTCTCGCCAGTGCTGAGGGCCTCTGGGGGTCTTGAGCAGGACCTGGGTGGCAGGAATGCTTTCACTCCCCACCATACGCCTCCTGCAGAGGCAGGACCCGCAGGGAACTGGGCTTCCACCAGGCACCACCACAGACACTCAAGGGATAAGGGGCGCTGTTTTCGAGCGGGCAGTGCGAGCCAATGGAAAGGAGGGCTTTGACTTGTGCCAAGACCACTCACTGGAGACGCCTCGATGCTGGCAGGCTTCCCTGTGACAGAGCTGCCCGAGAGATGGGCAGGAAGCCTCCAAAGCCCTCCCTGAGTTAGCAGTCAGCTGTGGCTGGCCTTAAAGTGTCAAGTGCCCGAGAGAGGCTGGACAACTGTACACAAACAGGAAACTGGAATTCAGTAGTGTGCAGGGGAGTATGGAGGTGCATGCTAATTCGGGCCACAAGCTGGGAGGAAGGAGAGCAGCCTCTGCCTCTGCGCTAAGATTAAAAGAGGCTGAGCAATGAGGTGTCACTGAAGACAGCACTGGCTAGGCAGGCTGGACTGGGAAAGGAGGATGCGGAAAAGAGCTGGGAAAGAGCTGTGTGCAGAGAAATCTTTGAAAAACAGATTGTCCAGCCAGACTGCGGTTTGCCTGGGAGAAAAGGGGGGTCCCTTTGGCGGCTGCTGCAAAACAAGACAGGGCCCCAGAGCCGGCCAAGGGCATCCCAGCAGGGTGAGCCTCGAGGGGGTGTAGTGTGTCAGTGACCACAGGTCATTTGCTGGCCATGGAGGAGCTCAGGGAAAACGGGAAAACGCAGTGTCCGCGTTCCTGGTCGGAGGACTTCCCACAGTTGTTTGGGGGACCTGGCAGCTCTCAGGCCTGCTGGTCGGCATGCGGTATGAGCCACAGAGTACAAGCAAGAAAACCCTTAACTGACCTGGAACCAAAGCTCTTGGGGGACGGGAGAGGAAGAAATGGGAGGAAACCCATGTCCTGCGTGGAAGAGAAGAGACCGAAGGCAGGGCATTGTGCAGACAGAACGCTGCTCCCCAGGGCACGGTGACCCTCTGCAGTATCCCAGGGAGACTGACCAGGAGCGGGCACCTGGCACAAAAGCAGCACCGCACAAGGAAAGCAGATGTTTATTGGCTGTGTCGTGGCTTCGGTAAAGGAGGCCACTGTCTGAGACAGTGCAAATGCTTAAGGAACCTGGCTCTGGTGAGGCAGAAGCTAAGACTCTCTGGGAGGGGTCGGGAAGTGTTCTGGAAGGTGGGGAAGAATGAGTTGACCAGACCCGTGGACCCACGCTTTGGCACACTGGGGCACTTCCTTTCCTCTCAAGGGTGCCAGGACCTCGGAGGGAGGGTGCAGAGATGTCTCCGGATGGATGGATCGGTGTGCCGGGCTGGTGGTGGGTTGTGATAAGCACCTTGAGCATCTGCTCTGCTACTACCTCCCGAGGAGTTCATGCAGGACTCTGCCATTCCCTTTCTGAGTCCCACCCCGTGGACAGGGGAGGTTAGGAAAGGAAGGAAATTCCCCCACAAGAAAGAGCTGCCAGCCCTCTCACTCTGCCAGGAAGCAGTGCTTGGCATCCCAGGGAAGGGAGGAGGGCTAGAAGTGAGTTTAACAGCAGCTTTGCAGGAGAGGTAGAACTACATCCGGTAGGCTGGGCCAGAGGCCCTCTTTACTGTGCTAAGTATGCATTAGACGTGCAGGGATGCAGGACAGAGATCCACCTCTCCCAGCCGAGGACTGCCCAGATAAACCTCAAGGACACTGGCCTTCCTCCCCAGGCAGGCAGGCAGGCAGTCAAGGAGATACCTTTATCAGGGGGCGCCTGCTTCAAGGCTTCCAGGCTTCCAGGCTTCCAGGCTTCAAGGGCATTGTCTCCTCCAGTAGTCCCAACATTCCAGCTGAATTGTGCCAGCCTGCACGCCCCACCCCCAGCCTGTCACCCCTGCCCCTAGGGCGTCTCTTGAGTCTGATTGTGAACACTGAAGCCCCTTTCCGCCCTGGCCTCCTGAGATCACTGATAAGCGTGCATCTGTCAGGAGCGGACATCCCATCAGCTGGCGTTTATGTGCATGTTTGTCTTTTTCTTTGTGCACACTGTAAACTCAATGACGAGGACCATGTCTTCATTTTGCCAATCAAAGCACACAGGTTTATTGAGGATACACACAGATGCGGACTTTGGGGGCGAGGCGAAGTCGGTAGTATGGATAGAAGGGGAGTGCTCTTTTTGGATGAACAGATGCATTAGCCATCCATCAGCTGGTGTTAGAAGAAAGGCTACAGGGAGAATACTTCCACGTAAGCAGTGAGTGGCAAATGCACTTTCGGCCCAAGTTCCCCTTATGGATCTGGTCTCTGCGAAGCGGTTCTGCTTAGACAGGGAGACCAGCAGAGGCAACAGCAGCACTGGTGATGCAGTAAGTTGATGTTCTTTAGCCGCAGCTGGCAGGCTACAGAGATGCCTTTACAGCCTGAGGAAGGCTGCAAGGGAGTACTTCACAGTGCCCTTTGCCTGAGACTGCAAAACCAAGAAGTCACCCTAAGCTCTGCGGGGGCCCCTGCCTGGCCAGTGGGTGTAGTCTTCGATTTAGCCACTGGAACTCTCACCTGGGGACCGGTGACTGGCCAAGGCCGAATCCTCAGTGGCACCCAGTGTGCATTCTTTGGCATCTGCAAACCAAAGGGGGTTTGGGGAGAGGCGGTCCCATTCTGCTCCACGTGGCTGCCTAAGTGGTGAGCATTTCTAGGAGAAGCTCTCTATTTCCACTTCTGTTTATCCTGACTGGGAACAGCACTTGGACACCCAGCAACTGCCCCGCCAAGACTGGCTTTTCAGACAAACCCTTCAGCAGTTTCCAAAGCTGAACCTGAGCACATCCACTTCCCTCAGATAGCAAAGGAAACTTCAAGTCTGAAGCAGACTTGGCGAGCATGTTATTAATAACTGTCATGCTTATTAACAAATTTAATCCGGCCTGCTGCAGAAATGAGTTGCAGCAAGGTGACACAGTCTCCCGACACACCTCATCGGCGTACATCTTAATCTGGCCCCGATTTTCAATGCTGCCATTCAAGTGATCTGGGGCGCACAAAGCCTTCCTCTCACCCGTGGGGTGGGGAGTGGGGGTTGAGCTTCCAGTGACTGAGGGGCTGGCTGAATGTCTGTGGACATCGCAGCTCTGTGAAAAAGCAGCATCCTTGGGCTCAGAAAACAACAGTCTTCCCGGAATGGGAGGATACCTGGAGAGCTCAAAAGTATAACTTATATTTTTAAAGCTTTGAGCACTCCATGTATTTTTATGTTCATAGGGAAATGGCCGCTGTCTCATTGGGTGAGCTCTGTTGGCCTTTCCTCCCCCTGAGGGCCTGTCCTCAGTGCCACCTGGTGCCCCAGGTTCTGTCCAATCCCTGTCCTCATTCCAGGGTCGAGCCATAGCTGTGAAATTGAACCAAATCTTGGGCTCGTCATCATCCAGCTCCTGGTCATCCCCCCACTCATCTTCTTCTTCCTCAGGCTTGTCATTGTCATCCTTTCCTACTGTCAGTTTGTAAACACAGTAACAAGCCCCAGCCCCAATCATCAGTCCTGCTGCCATCCACCCCATTTCCCGGGCCCGGCCCATGCTTCAGTCTGTGCCAGTCTTTGGGCGGGATGGGATAGTGTCTTCCTCTACTCGATTGAAGAGTTATTTTAGTGCCAGAATGGTTCACGCAGAGTAGTAATATTCCTCCTTTCTTATGTTTCTGTAGTTCTGTGTATGAATCTGTGGGTAAGAAAATGTTTTAGGGACATTGGTTTATGCCAAGGGTTTGTGCCTTACCAGAAAGACTGAAGTTTGAGTGCTGGTTGAAAATATTTAGATTATCAGGAAACTATTTTCTTATTCTTTTGTGCCTCCCCTATCTACCCGCAGGATCAGTCATTTCTCTTCCAGGACCCTCAGAAAAGGACCACAGATAGAGCTGTGCTGTATATGATAATGAGGCTTGCGACAGATCTGAGCCTCAGACACCCTCAAGTAGATTTTTTCCTTCACAACACATATCTCTACCCTCCAAAATTCACATAGTTTCTCCCACCAACCTTTAACAAAGTCAGGTGAGTTCCTTCTTCCCTTGTTTCTGTTGTCACTGTTCCCTCTACATTGAAGATGGACAGTTTGGCAGCAGAAGAAATAGAGAGGTAGGTGGCAATGGAAAACTGAAAGTATAGTAGATGGATCCTCACTGAGTACACAGGTCCCCAAGTCTGCTTTTCTGATTGTTAGACTTTTGGGTTGAAAGTGTTTCTCACACCTTCTGTACTTTTCTAACTAGAGATTCCTCCACCCCCTTCGTCCGCCATTTTCCAGCAAAGGCTGCCACACCCCTTTCCCTTCACAGAAATGGGAGGGGGTGTGGAGTAAGAAGGGGCCTGGAGAGGGCGACTGGGACCTGGCCCGAACAGATCCCAGCTCCGCTCTCTGCCACCCGTGCTCAGGCTTCTGGGCTCATCCTACCTTCACACGGCCCTCCACAGTTCCAAGCAAAGCACTTTGCTCCTTCTCTCGCCAAGATCTGCGTCGCGATCTACAGATCTGCAACAGACGGGAGACCGAGGGGAGGGAGTGCTTGGTGGACTGACCGGCACCGAGCGCACGGTGCGTGGATCGTGGAACCCTTCTTTCCTTCAATTCTCTGTAACAACCATTCACTCTCCTGACCTCCACCTGAAGTCTGCCACTCCTTTCGAGTAAAAGGAGTGGAGTGGGGATGGGGTGGAACTAGCGGTGGGGGAAGGTATTTTAAAAGTGGAAGAGAGAGGAATACAGCCCCAATCTGCCTGAACTTGGACCCGCAGCGCACTTCCCTCTCTCCCACCCTCACTTCTTTCAAAGCAGCGCCTACCCTCGCACCGACCTGTGTGATCCGAGCTAGTTTTCTTCTTCCTTCACATGCCTGCAGATTAATAGGGGGCTGGTACCCAGACAGAGGCGACTAGCACGACTTCTACTCCAGGAGACTCTGGATCACATGACCCCCCCCCCCCCCGCCTCCACTCCCTGAAGCAGTGCGGCAGGCGCCAGCCTGCTCTCTACCTCCCCCAATTTCACTGCTCCCTGTCACTCTCTTCCTCTGTAGGAACACCAGAAACCAGAAGTTACCATATCTCTCTGGTGTTGAATTTGACTTTCTATAATTACAGGAAGGGCTAGCATCTTTTCCTGGGTCTACTCTGCACTTAACTTCTTGGAGAATTGCTTCATCCATTCCTTGGCTTTGAAACTCCTGCATCTTCTTCCTTAATTTCTACTCGTTTTTCATTTTCAGTCGCTGCACCAAATTTGGGGGAAGGGGAGCAAAAAAGGAAGCCCGGGTAGTAGTGAGATTTTTACTAATATTTTTGATCCATTTAGGTTCTGTTTCATCCTTTTTTACTAACTCAAGTTACATACACTATTTTGCAAACATAAATTACAATAAAACTATTTCCACTTAGACAAAAGAAGGAATTGTCAGTCTTGTTTTAAAAATATATCATAAGCAAGATTATCCAATTAATAGGAAGGTATCACTGGGTTGGCAAAGTTAATTTGTACCACATTGAAAATACTGGTTTCTAATACAAGCTTTAAAAGAGCATATTAAAGTTTAAAAAATATCATTACAAACAAAATCAATGAATTCTTAATATGATTTATAAGTTGATGGATAGATAAATGAATCTGTAAGAGAAGGTCATTGTTCTAATGGTGACCATTTTAGATGAATTAAGAATTACTGTTCCTTTTTTCTTCCTGGCTGAACTCATAGTATTAACTTTTATACAACTGAGATTTTGTGGAAGGCTGCTGGATGCTTTCCTTCTGGCTTCAAAGAAGGCACTTCTCATAGACTCTATCTTCAGATGAATCTCACAAGTTCAGATGAACTTTACAAGTTACTAACTTCACATGTTAGTCTGCCTTTTATTTAAGGGCTTTATTTTTAAATCTATTGTCAAGTTTCATGAAGCAATCTGTAAACCATCTAGAAATTAGAGAATTCTCTGTTAATAGAATTTTTCATCCATCATGGCCCTGGTAAGGTCTCTTCACTATCTGACATTCCTGTGTTATCTGTTACCATAGCAATGACCAGTGTCCACATTCTCCAGTGGCAGTAGCAGTGAGGGTCTGTGGATGATTGTGAATTGCTGCAACCCCCTCGGATCTCCTTACAATTTTCCCCTCACAAGAGGGATGTCAAGGTATAGGATCTCAAGCAGTCACCAGGAGAAAGAAGACTTTCACTCCCTAATTTCCCTTACCCACACAAGTCCTTCAGAATAATTAGTCTCAGAACTCTGGGATAAGTATGCAGAAGTTAGCCCCCAGACACCCACTTGTCCTGGCTTGGGACAAATACTCTAAATATAGACTGGGAGTCATACTCTAAATATAGACTGTTCAGGCAGCCTCTTTCTTAGAATGTTGAAATAGGACACCTAGGCAGGCTGGAGGCGCTCCCGCCAGGGGCCCCTGTGTAGGAGGCCCTCTCTGGAGGAAAGCCAGAGAGCCCTGAATGTCTTGCTGGCAAATATTGAAGTCACGAACAATATACTCCATCTCTAAATTTCTTCTTCATTGGTTTTGCCCATTATCCCCTTTAACTGTTCTTTTCATGACACTTTACTTACTTCTCTCAGACAAATGCATTTTAGTTATGACGGCTTACTAACAGAACACTTAGGTTCAACTGCTAATCGTACAGTGTTTGGCACCTGGTACTTACATTAGTGACTTTTTCGTTTTGAACATATATGTTAGAAAGAATTAAAGAATATATAAAGCTTAACAAAACCAAATGTCTTGGTGTCCTACACAGAATTCTACAACATGGACTAATTTTTGCAAAATTTAGCCAAGTTCAAAGACAAAATATTCATTTCTGCCTCCCCTTACCAGAGTAAAATATTCCTCCCTTTCATATATCCTGCAATTATCTAGTTTATAATTCAGTACCACCATTCTCCCAATGTATCAGACCTCCTGGCTGGAATCCACTCAGACAAGCCTGTTAAAAGTTCTTGAGGCTGCAAAAGTCTGTGAAGCCACTGCCAAATGAAGCCTTTGCCTTAAATCGATCTGTGGATGTATGTGATTTGTGACTTACAGAGTACCTGAAAATAGTGGATAGTACCACTGACAGAAGGGTGAAGAGTGAGAAAAATAAATTACAGAAGGTTATTATCTTCAAGGGTTAAATTACTTTTTGTATTGTGTTATTTGTTTTTGTAGAGTTTTCAGATTGCAAGCAGCAGAAACCAACCTGGTTAACAAGCGGGAATGCTGAAGATCAGGGTCAGCTGTCTAATTAGGAGGAACTGAGAGAATCTCTTCAGGATACCATAAGTCTACTGATTGTCAGGTTTTTGTCTCTCTGCTCAAGATTCCTATTTTAGTGAGTGAACCTTTGTTTGGTCTGTTTCGGGCAGTAGCCACACTTTTGCTGAAGAAGCACAGGTAAAGAAAACATAAAATGCACTTCCTTTCTTTTCCCAGACAGATGTAAATTGTTTCAGATATTGCTGATTTATAGAAACTCTTTAACTCCTTTGGGTATTAACTTTGTCTAGCTGTGACTGACATGCTGGGGCATATGTGCTACAGCATAACTTAGTTGCATTTTTCATATTAACTGAACATTAGAAAAAGATGTGAAAAGGCAGTGCATGAGGTTGTCCTCTGAGTCAAAAAATCACCTGGCTTCCCGCTTAGAATACCACAAAGTTGCATCTACTGTTCAGAGTTTTTTCTCCAGTGTTGCATGATCTAGCCCTGATTAAAAAAAAGTTTTTTATTGATATGTGTTTATAGTACATAATGATTACATTCATCGTGGGAATTTGGTACATGTACATAACACATTTAAATCTTTTCACCTCCCTTACCTTTTCTCCTCCCACCTAGGCCTGATTTTTTCTATACAACAAGAGCAAATGTTCTTAAGGTATCATTACAGAGACATGTAAATCTAGAACAGAATGCTCAAACCCATGTGTGTCTACATTCTTTCCCTGTTAGATCACAAGAGAAGTTAAGTTTCAACAGATATTTATTTCAATATCAGAATAATTTACCCTGAAAAATACAACTGTCAGGAGTACTAGAGGTTTTGGTGACTCTTACCTGCCCATTTTCTTCCTATAGACGAGCTACTACTTAGCAAGCAACAACCTCAGAAAGTTTCTTGGTGAACCTGCAATCAGAGCAAGGGCATTCATTCACCTTAAAAAGTGGCCTTCAGCTGCAGAAGCGTGAAGAAGTCTCACACAGGATGGGGGGAATTTTGCCGAGGAAAGCTAAAATGTTCCATTCACCTTAGCCTTCCTTTCCTCCAGACAGAGCTTGGCTGCACTTTCCCCTGATTCTTCTAAGTACAGAATCAGACATCGATTGGCTTCTGTTTGCTAAATTTCAATCATGTTCCAGTACTGTCTCCCAAAAATTGAATCCATGCGAATTTTCTTGAGGTTTGCCTCTTCCCAAACTCCCTGATCTCTAAATTTACTTCCATATTATCTGTGGATTTAAAAAGTTGTATCAGATAACAACCTTACATTCAAACTATTAGGAAATAAATAACCAAAAGATCCCACGTTCTGAAAAGCTATAGGATTTTTTGTTTTGTTTTTGTACTGTATATTAATTAATGTTCTTTGATTTTAAACAACTGAAACTGGCTAACTTAAATAATGATAATTATTCCTTTTCCTGTTTTAGAAAAGTTAAATCACAAGTGAATTATTGAGCTCAGTACATCAGTGCAATGATTTCACACTAATTGCTAGATACCAAGTTCAGGCAACTTTGTGTTGGTCTCTGTGTTCCTTTAACACCTATTTCATTTACAGCTATTCCGTATTTGTATTTGTCTTTCATAATGTTCTCTGTATGTCACTCATTTGGTCAGTGTGCATGCTTTTTTATTTTGCAGATACCAACTACACAGATGTAATTTCTATTCAGTCTTTTGCTACTGGCTCCTGAAGGTTGATTTCCTGCTCCTTGCTAATTTACACAGGTGAAAATCTGCCCATCTCTGATACTCAGAACACTGACCTAGCCTGAAGATTTACATATTCTCAGACACACTGATTAGCTCTTTCAGGTTTTGTTATGTGCTAGGCCCTAAAATATATTGAGATTGCTTTGAGTGAAGTAGCCAACACTTTCCACTAAGTGAGAAATGTAGGACTTTTAGAAGCTATCATCCAACATTCTCTCTCACCTCCACTCTTTTTTCTGAAATTAAAATAGCTTTATTGTATTTTTCCTCATAAAAAGAATGCGGGCTAGGTGTGGAGGAGGGTAGGGCAAAAATGACAAAGTATTAATAAAATGAAATCCACACACTCACTTCAGGTTTGCCTTTCTGACCTCTTGTTCATTTCAGATCTGGAACTGGATTTCAGAGGAAATGGTAGACATTAACGACTAGGGGAGAGGTGTAGGGAGAGGCTGAGGTCCCAGGAGTCTAGGAAAGGAAAAGTCAATTTTTCAAAAAAGTGCAAGTGGCCAGTAGCCCCAGGGGAAGATGCTATCCCTTTCTGGTAATCGGAGGAAGAGAAACACAACTACAAGGAGATGGGATTAGCGATGAAGAATGAATAACAAGGCCCAGCTGGGGAAGGGAAAGGAGTGGGGCGGGCCCTCTTCTGCCGCACTGCTAGTGGGAGGGGAAATTGGGGACCCGAGTTGGTGGATGACGTAGATCTCACGTGACCAAGAGCTGACGTGTGCAGAAGTCCTTCTTGTCCTGGTCGTTGTTCCCATCTGAGTACCAGCTCCCAATTGCCTGGAGGGTAGGTGGGCTTGTCGCAGAGGGAAGAAGGAGGAAGAGAAGGAAATTGTCCCAGATCCCTGCAGGTCAGTGCCTGGGAGATTCCACAAAGTGGGGGTGGCGGAGGGTGTAGGGCGGAGACCGTCGCGGGTCCTGAGGCGCCTCTGTCGACTCTCCGACTCGCTGCCTGCTTTCCAAGACGTTTGTCCCGC